GAGGAGGAGAACAAAGGAGGGAGGAAAATGTTTTAAAGAGCATGCAGGAATTAGAGGAATTGTTAATTTTGTTATGATAGTATGTCCTTTTAGCAGTGGAGACATTAGCAGAGAAGGAAGAGAGGAGTGACAGATACACATTAAGGTCAGTAGGATTTTTTGATTTGCAACATACGCTTTCAGCAGCCGTAAGCTTAGAACGATGTTCGTGGAGAACATCAGACAGCCAAGGGGCAGAAGAGGTGGTACGGGGTTTGTCTGGAAGATAGGGGGCAGACAGTGTCTAAACAAGATGTAAGAGTGGAGCAGAAAGTATCAGTAGCACTGTTAACATCAAGAGATGATAACTGTTTAGGGCAGGGCTGTCCAAACTCGGTCCTGGAAGGCCAGTGCCCTGCAGAGTTTAGCTCCAACTTGCCTCAACACACCTGCCGGGAAGTTTCTAGTATGCCTAGTAAGAGCTTGATTGGCTGGTTCAGGTGTGTCTAATTGGGGTCGGATCTAAACTCTGCAGGACATCGGCCCTCCAGGACCGAGTTTGGGCACCCCTGGTTTAGGGGGAGGAAGCAAAGATGAAACCATAGCAGATAGCCGGGAGGGTAAGAGTGAGCATAGCTTACGTCGAAAGATGACATGTGGAGGGTTTATGTGTTGTGTCAGGAACCATCTTGAGGTTAAGAGTGAGGAGGAAGTGATCCGAGGTGTGCAGTGGAGTAACCAGTATGATCAGTGGATCAGTGTTGTGTGTAAATAAGGTACAATATTGAGTGTACAATACAGATTGTGTCAAAGCAACTTTATCATGAAAATAGTGTGTGTTAGTAAAACAAAATTAAATTCTGCTGTAGAGCAGCTCTAAAAAGAGGACAATAGTAAACAGTCAACTTTTAGGTTGAGTAAAGAGCTTGATTGTGTCTTATTGTGATTAAGTCCTTACTCTGATTATTGAAAATAATAGCATTTTTGGTGCACATGTCAGTCCAAAAGATCTGCTTTGAAAAACATTTAATATTTGTGTGTAATGTGAATAAATTATCATAGTAGAAAAACAACATTTTAAATTTTTTCTTTTTTTTATGCCAGGTGGTGTATGGTCACTGTTGACTGTCATCTCTTTAATCCTGTGTGAGTGCAAGCCAATAGTTTTCTTCAAACACATGGGTCTGTTGACCCTGCAAACTTTATAACATTTTTTATACCATCGGTTACATTTATTTCTTAGTACTTAGTCATTGTAAAACTCTTAACATAAGTTGATGATGCAAATAAACAGACCAGCTAATCTCACTTCCAAAATGCTTTCCAAATGCATACATGTCTTAATGAAATATTTAGAAAACATGTCAAATTTAGATACATGTATTTAGATACAACATGTCAAAACAACTGAACAGTGTACTCCACAGATCCTGCATTTTTGCTAACTGTTGAAAGACAAAACTCAGTATTGAGAAATGCATGTAAAACAGTGTAAACTCATGTGTTTCACGTTAATTTAAATGTGCTAAACATGCTAGAAATTCACCTGGTTTGGTATTTGTGTTTTCTGACTTTGATCCCATCTTTCTCATTCTCAGCTTTCATATCTACCACTGCTGCTGAACCAAGAGCAGCAGTTAGTCCAGCTTATGGCTGTGTGCTTTATAATGAAACGTACATCTGCAGCGGTTCTCAGTATCAAATGTATTGCGACACAAGAATGCATCATTTCTACTACCAGAGAGACCAAGACCAACACCAATACCACTGCATGAGTAATGACTGTATCTGTGTTGGTAATAATGACACCTGTGCATGCTACTATAATACTTCGTCCTGCTTCTGTGAGATCTTTAGCAATAACATCATAGTCCCTACAGCAGTTCGACCTGTCTTGGACTGTGAGTTTAAGAATGACACGTACATCTGCATTGGTGCTCAGTACCACATGTACTGCAACACAACGGTGCATTATTTTAGCTACTCCAGACATCTTTACCAAAACCAATACCTGTACGAATGCTGGAGTAATAACTGTGACTGTCGTTTTAATAAGGACTCCTGTTGGTGCTACAGTCATACGTCATCCTGCTTCTGTACAAATTATGGCTATAATATCACTATCTCTTCATTACGTAATCCATTCACAATCCCTGACTGTCTGCTTTATAACGACACGTACATCTGCACTGGTGCTCAGGACCACATGTACTGCAACACAAGAATGCATCATTTTTACTTTTTGAGGTATCAGAGCAAAAACCAATACCATTGCATTAGTAATAACTGTTACTGCATTGTTAATGAGGACACCTGTACATGCTACAGTAGCACTTTGTCCTCCTGCTTCTGTGAGACTTACAACAATAGCATTGCTCTCCCTACAGCAGTTAGTTCAGTTACAGACCCTGACTGTGTGCGTCTTAATGATATGTACATCTGCACTGGTGCTCAGTATCGCATGTACTGCAACACACAAATGCATGCCTTCTCCTACCAGAGATCTCAGTACAAATACCAGTACCTGTGTGTGAATAATGACTGTGACTGCTTTGGTAATAGGGACACCTGTACATGCTCTACTAGCACTTTGTCCTCCTGCTTCTGTAAGACTTATGGCAATATCACCGCTCTCACTATAGCAGTTAGTCCAGTCTATGACTGTGCACGTTATAATGACTTGTACATCTGCACTGGTGCTCAGTACCACATGTATTGCAACACAAGTGTACATGATTTCGATTATGATAGATACCATTACTACTGTTTAAATAATAACTGTTACTGCTTTGGTAATAAGGACACCTGTACATGCTACAGTAGCACTTCATCCTCCTGCTTCTGTACAAATAACAGCAGTAGCATCACTATTCCTGCAGCAGTTAGTCCAGTTTATGACTGTGGGCTTTATAACGACACATACATCTGCACTGGTGCTCAGTACCACATGTACTGCGACACAAGAATGCATCATTTCTACTACTGGAAATATAGAGACCAAAACCAATATGAATATGAATGCTGGGGTAATAACTGTTACTGCTTTGGTAATAATGACACCTGTACATGCTACAGTAGCACTTTGTCATCCTGCTTCTGTAATACTTATGGAAATATCACTGCTCTCACTACAGCTATTAGTCCAGTCTATGACTGTGGGCTTTATAATGACATATACATCTGCACTGGTGCTCAGTACCGCATGTACTGCGACACAAGAATGAATAGTTTCTACTACTTGAAATATAGAAACCAAAACCAATATGAATATGAATGCTGGGGTAATAACTGTTACTGCACTGGTAATAAGGACACCTGCACATGCTACAGTAGCACTTCATCCTCCTGCTTCTGTACAAATGACGGCAGTAGCATCACTATTCCTGCAGCAGTTAGTCCAGTTTATGACTGTGGCCTTCATAATGACACTTATATCTGCACTGGTGCTCAGTACCGCATGTTCTGCAATACAAGAATGCATTATTTCTACTTCTGGAGATATAAAAATCAAAACCAATATGGATGCTGGGGTGATAACTGTTACTGCTTTGGTAATAAGGACACCTGTACATGCTACAGTAGAACTTTGTCCTCCTGTTTCTGTGAGACTAACATCTTCACAACTATTGCAGGTGAGCGTGTTTCTAGACCTGAATGTGGAGTTTGAGTTTACTGTATTCATGTTGAATTGATGAATTCCCTTATTTCAGATCTAATTATCGCACTGCCGGATCAATGCAGGGTAAGCTGAACATGTTTTTTATTTACACAGTGCACAGAATCTTTCAGTTTTATTTGTAAAGCTCAGATGTGATTTCAGAGTCAGACCTCAGAAGGATGTCTTCAAAATCTTCTTGAGCAGATAGAGAACAGTGCAGCTCAAGAGCTCCCTTTGACTGTAAGTCTTCAAGATAAATAACAATAAATAATTGAATCAAATCAATATAATAGATGATTAACATAGCAGTGCTGTTTTAATGGCTCTCTTGATGTTTACATGTACATAAACTATTTATCTGATCAATAGACTGTGATGAGCATTTTGACTGTGGTCTTCAACACTTCAGAGAAGATATTAGAGTCATCATCAGTAAACCCAGCTGAACTAGCCTCTTATGGAAACAGTGTGTTAAAAGCCAGTGAGAAACTCATTTCTACATTAGTGAAGCAGACAGACACTAGTGACAGTGTCAGTTTTACTTTTGCTGCTGTAGGTAAGTGGATACACAATTATTATTGATGATGATGAAACACAGATTTGATGTCAGTGGCTTTTTATGGTCTAGAGCAGGGGTTTTCAAACCTGTCCTGGAGGACCTCCAGTCCTGTTTGTATGTCTCCCTCATCTAACACACCTGATTAAACTCATCAGCTCGTTAGCAGAGACTGCAAGACCTGAACGGCGTGTGTCTGATAAGAGAGACATACAAAATGTGCAAGGCTGGGGGTCCTCCAGGACAGGTTTGAAAACCCCTGAGCAGCGGTGGGTCAGACAGCAAAAAAATTATAAATGCAGATACAGTAACTCTATAATTGTGTAGAGTTACAAATGTTTTAACAGAAAACACTGCCTGTATATTTTCGTGTTGATGTCAAAGGTCCGTATTTTGGTGCTATTTCATCCATCACTAGATAGAAATGTCTTGAAAAACCCTCACCCTGAAAAGCCATGAGAAACAAAAATGCAACATTAAACACAGGTTCACTTACAGTATAGTTTATGGAGACCTCAAGGTTTTTATGTGAATATCTGCTGCTTTGAGCATAAGAACAATCAACATTCACAATACATTTACCAAACACTCAAAGGAGAAAAACAGAAAGTCAGTGCAGTTTATTGTGGTAATCAATTACAGGGTTTTGCTCTTGTGCTCTTGTGTAGATAGAAGTCTTCATGGTTGGACCACAGGTCACCTTAGAGAAAATCCCTCGACTCGACACAACAAATTCACAAATTCTCATCGATCTTATTGGGATTGCCAGGAACAACAATGAAAGTATGTCAAATGTTTCAGTGTGAAAAAATAAAATAAATCATAAATAGAGAATCATACCTTTACCACTAAACCATATTTACTTTTTTTTATTGTTTTACATAGTATGGCATATACTGTAGTTTCTGTTTCTGTCTCACAGGATCAGCTGCTGTGGCTTTCATGAGCTACAACACGATGGAGAATCTACTGAAGCCAGACTTCTTCAACACATCAAACAACACGATTAAAACCATGATGTCCACTGTGATCTCAGCTACTCTTCCCAAAACCACCAACACTGAACTCACCAAACCAGTCAACTTCACCCTCAAACACATCAGAGTGAGAGACTCAAATGTGCTTTTGTTTTATCAGAGCACTGATGAACATCTGAAAACATCTAATATTCAGTGTTTTAATATTTTCTTCTTGTTTTTGCAGGAGTTTGATCCCAGCGGTTCTCTGTTCTGTGTGTACTGGAATATCAGCGAGTGGATTGTAGATGGTTGTTCTGTTTTAAGGACCAACAGCAGCTACACTGTGTGTTCCTGTGATCATCTGTCGACATTCGCTCTTGTGCAAACCAGCCATCAGTCAGAGGTGCGAAAGAGAACAAGTCAAACCTTCTCAAAATATTGAAGCATTGAACGCACTAGCATAATTCAAATTCAATCTACAGTAGATGATCAACATTTCTAGTGAACACTGAGAACAGCACAGATCTGGCACTCATGTTCTCTCACATGTTTTCTCAGAGCGACTCACATCTGGCGATTGTGGTGTGTGTGATCGTGGGACTGGTGTTCATCAGTTTGGCTCTGTTGACCTTTGCCCTTTATAAGTGGAGTCCTCTGCGTGATTGGATGCGAGGTTGCGTTGTGCTGGGACCTGAAGGCTACAACAGGGAAGAGTGAGTTTATTTTATTTTATTTTTTAAGAAGGAAATAAAACTGCTCAGGGCTTATGTAACCTTTCTGCTATCTGATAAAAATCTGATAAAAATCCAACGTTGCATACAAAATTAAAAAGTTAACATGAAATAGTCTTTCAACACTGGCTCAGTTTGTGGTTCTTGGTTGCTCCTGGGTTCTGGGTTTCTTCACTAATGTCAGTAAGGAGCTGGAGATCCTCTTCCTGATCTTGAATCTTCATCTTTCCTGATGTATTGTGTCCTCAATAGTGAGGTCAGACCTTTACTCATTTTACCATCATATTCCATAAGAAATCCGGACATGAAACACTTTTACAGTTGTTTTCACTGAGGTCCTGTTTCTGTTGTGGTAATCTGTGACTTTTAGAAAAGAATGTCAGTGTGTTTAATCTGTTACTGTTCCATTTCCTTCCTGTGACGGAATGTTCAAAGGAACCAAAATTATTCAAACTCCGACTGTCAAAAATTCTAATTTAAACAAACACAGAATGCCTTTGATCTGCTGTCTGTCTGCACAGCATTACTCCTTTCAAACTCCAACAAACATTTAGGCCCATTTATTTAAAAAAAAATACTGTCCAGAGACAGTAAAGCTTCAATATTTACTTCAGAAATTCAACTCTAGTCTCTAAACATTATACATTATTTAAACATTTATTATAAATAAACTCCATTCTTGTTCATGAGTTTCAGAGGTTAATTTGATCTCATTAAGTCACTCAGCTCCTCTCGTCTCATTCCTTTCCAGGTTACGCAGCAGTACACGAAGTTCTTCAGATGTCCGTGCTGTGGACTCAAACTCAACAGCATCAAAAGTGTCCCAAAAAACACTGAGGAACACAACATCATGTTAACCTTAGAATGCACGAACCAAAAAAACAGCACAGATGCATAAAGGGGTCAAAATGGAATGAATGAAAAAGAAAAATAGGTGACTTATTGAAATATCTAAAACAATTGATGGTACAAATGTTTTAATATATCAAACATCTTTATTTGTCCACTTTTATATATGCATGTAAAAAGAAGACTTTTCCTAAACAAACTCCAAACTAATTTAGATCTAAAGTATGTTCTCGACTGAGCCTTCACTCTCCACATTTCTCACAGACCATGTGAAAATGTTCTTTTAAGGCAGAGACAACATTTCACATCAGATTTGTAGCTTTCTAAGCATATCTGTTGGGCAGAGTTTAAACCTCTTCCTTTGTTTGGGCCGTCAGCTGTCCTTTGCTGTGGCCTTTCTCTACTCATCTACTGCATCTGAAATCACATACTGTCTGAATAGCTTGTACATACTTAAAAAAGTATACATGTGTACAGTATGGGAGAAATATCATCAAACATGAATGTGATTAGTATGAATGCAATCTGAATGTACTACATCCGCCGCCAATTTAGCATTATCATGTGAGCTGTGGAGTGTGTTGAGTACTTATTTTTTCTGATGTTTTATGACCCCATTTATGCATTCAAGGGTTCAGGAAATCAAAAGTATCATTATTATACAGGCCAGTTCACACTGCAATGATACACGCTGACCAATGTGGACAATCACCTGATTACAGTCCCTCTCTCCTCAGATATTCCACGACCCGACACACATTTTATTCTGCATGTTCAGTTGGCAAAAACAAGACCAACTCCAACAGATGCAGACAGCGGTAACACACTGATCAGGCATAACCAACAAACATTTCTGTTGCCGTCTGTTGGTTCAGTGTGAATTGACCTATAATCTCAGCTTCTTTCTGCAAATGATATTAAAATATGTTATACATGATTCTTAATATTACAGCTGTCAATATTACTGATGTAAAACAAGTAACTATTTTATTCACACAATATTTTTTTTGGAGGAGGGCAAAAATATATTTACATACTCATATTTTTTGTTACTTAATAGTAAAGCTGAATATGGCATTAATGCTAGTAAAAAAAAAATTTAAAAACTGTTAAACTATACAATTATATTTTACTATAAACTGTTAAAAACATTTATATTTTATTTTGTCAAGATCAGACAACCGTTCATTAGATGACTGTTATGCAAGTTTCTTATTTTATAGCTGTATTGATGTAAACCTCATAATGTATTTTTTATTTTTTTTTTACATGTAGGATTTTCTTGGTGGAGGGTGAAAAGCTTATTTTATCAAACTTAAATGATTTCAAGTAAATGTTGGCAAATGGAAAACCTATAAACTATGTCATGTGTGGTAAAGGGAAATTAATTAACTTTGCATGGCATCATGATGGTTTAGTTGTAAAGTTATGAATTTGTAAATATTGCCCAATTATATTTTTGTTTATTAAGCTCAGAAAGCTGACTGTTTCTTCTGCAAGGAACCTTTTTTTTTTTTACAGTGCAGTATATTACTTTAATCATATGCTCATACAACATATGAATATGTTTTTAGATGGAAGGGAAGGCAGTTAAAGTGAATATGTATTCTCATGTGGCTTGAATTTTTGTTAAAACATAACTGCATTTTCCTGTATTATTTTAGTGTATTTTGTTACAAATGTCTTAATTAACAAAATAATAAATGATAATAATAACTGCAATTGTAAACATGTTTTTTTCTCTCTCTATAATGTCCACAAAAGAAAAACTTCATAACATACTGACCTGATTTCAGAGGGATACCCCAGTTTGAAATCATGCCATCTTCCACAGCATTTCTGTATTTAAACTGTAACATAAATAACCCTTAGAACTGCATGTGCACATTTTCTATTATTTTTACAATATGAGTCAATAAACCGAGTTTGAGGGATGGATGAGACTCAAAATGTCCATTTTACTGAAGAAGCTAAGAAGGGAAAGTTGGGAAGCTGAGAAAAAACTAGTGAATGATTACCAGCAGCTGCCAGCGTTACAGCAGCCATTACAGCCCAGGTGGAGTCACTGGGTTAAAACTGTTAAAAACCTGATCATGAATTACATGACACTGTGGGAGGTCTCTGAAAATGCACTTTATAGGAACTGGACATGTGAGCAATTGTTAGGCATGCATTTGTTTTTGAATTTTAATTTGTGGTGGAAACAATGGATTTAGAATCATATCTCCACTGCTAATTTGTTTATTCTCTACCTGTTAAGGAAATTTGTCCTCTGAACTGGTTTGTGGATAAAGAAAAATACACTTGATTGTCAAATGTGACAATGGCTTCCACCTTTCATAAATATATATTTTTTTTTCTTGACTTTAAATGTTGGTTCTTATTTTCTCAAAAAAATGTATAACATGACCTGCGGTCAGATGTAGAGCTGCGAATCAAAAGTCGATTCAAATCCTAAAATTGGATACGTATATTCAGAAATGAGATATCAATTTGTGTGTGACCATATTAATGTGACTTTGAACCAGTACTGGTCTTAGACTGCTGCTGGCACTAAGCAAAACTTTATCGGGGGCCCTTGTCAGTAAAAAAAAAAAAAAAAAACAGATTGACTCCTTAATCTGTTCTTTCCGAGCAGTTTCACTGTCATTAATCTTTAATACAAACAAAACAAAAAAAAAGAAAGAAAGAAAATGACAAACAATAGGAAAAATACAATAGAAATCAAGCATCGCATTGGGCAAAACATAAAATAAAAAAAATGTATTATATCAAAGAGAAACAAGACTCTTTGTTGTGTTTCTCATTTTTGTTCTTTTCTTCTGTTCTCTATTTTTATGGGAAACAGTATGTTACCTTTTTATCTTTATTATTATTATTAGTAGTAGTAGTAGTAGTAGTAGTAGTAGTAGTAGAATTAGTATTATTAGTATTATTTAATTACTTTTTATTTATTTATTTATTTATTGCAGTGTGGTCTAAATGTTTTCTTACTCAGATATTAGAAAAAAAATACATATTTTAATTTTTTTGTCCAAAAGCAACAGCATGATCTAGACACACAATATATGAGATGCTGCATAAAGAGTGTTTCAAATGACAGTGATCCGAGCATGAAGAGGACTCGTGGACTCATAAATAATAACTGCAAAGAGCACAAGATATTTGCTGTTTATCTTTGATCTTATGATAGACATGTTTTTGATGACGTCACAAAAATGCTATATACATTGACATTACTTAAGACTTGGATTAAAGGTGCAATCGAGAGAGCAATGCCCATTCCAGTAACATAAACAATAAAATAATAAATCAGTAATTCTCAGAATACATTTTAGAGCCCCAGCACAAGCACAGTTGATCTTCTGTGTTAAACTTACTTCAAGGCAATCAGTTTACTCATTACCTCTTTGCATGCATGTATAAAGCCTGTGTGTGTTGTCCGTATTTTGACCATACATATACACAGAGCAAAATCTGTGACACATTTACACTGCTCGGTGTCTATATAAGTCCAGTCAGAAAGCATTTTTGCATTTCATGAGATACAGTCCAAAATGTGTGTCTTATCAAACAAGGTAAAAAAAAACACACTAGTGGTCCATACTAGAATGGAGGCAGATGAGAACGCAGATTTGTGCTTAATTGACTTTACTGTATTGCATATTTGCATGCATTAGTAGAGAAGAGTCAGTCATGCCACAAGAAGAGCAAGTTATGGTAATTTGATTGGAGATAAAGTAGCCAAAAATATGCATAAAAATTTATTATTTACAAAAGACCAGCAACATGCATTAAGAAATGAAATATAGTAAATTTTGGATCAACTTTAACAGACTCTTCTGTGCAAGAATGACTTGAACTGTTTCTAAGCCTGTATGTGAGTGCCAACAATCAGTAACAATGAAGAACTAACAGACGATAATCAGTTTACATCAATGCAATTTTAATTGGTCTTTCTCTCACACATATTTTAGCTCTATAATCAGACATTATAGTTAAATAATTTTGAAATTAATTGTGTTATTTTGTTTATGTTGAGCTTTTATATTTGTACTGATAACACTGTGTTTATGAACTGGATGATAATGCTCTTCTCCTCAGGAGCTGTAACCTGTCCTGACCGCTGCATCACTCCACTTCCTCACTTGATCATGGGGAAAAAAGATTTAATATTGAGATCAAAAGTTTGTCATGCCACCACAGACACTGACACACACACACACACAGATACACACACACGCATCATTTACAGAATAATTTAAGATAAAACTGGAATTAGGCTACAATTCATATTGTATTTTCATATTACTTATATTTTATATTCTTATTTGTATTTCTTATATGTTCCAAGTTACCCATAAATGGCTTGTTGCTAAACTCAGTATCACTTATTAGACTCACATTTTGCACATTTTAATTAAAGTTGGACAGTCTGGAAAGAAAGTCACCTTTTAGCAATGATAGAGAATTTAAATGAACCGTCACTCACATTTGTGAAACGCATTCAGTACATGCTTGCAGGAAATCCCATAATGAAGTCATAAATTCCATACAGTCCATACATCCCGAAACTACTTCCTCAATGTCAACTGTGTTTTCGTTACATGCCGAGTTCGCATCCTCAACGTAATTGGGTTTTTCGTGACATGCTGAACCTGCATCTTCGATGTAACCTGTGTTTTCGTTACATGGTGAACCTGCATCTTCGATGTAACCTGTGTTTTCGTTACTTGGTGAACCTGCATCCTCCATGTAGCTCGTTCTTTCAGGATACCACCAAGCCTCTTCCTCAAATTCACTGGTGGTTTCATGACAGCTGCAGCTGCATTTCTTATTGCAAGTCTCATGCACTTCGTACATCCTTCTTTGCTGTTCTTACATCCCATGACTTGTCTAGCAAGTTTAATTCAACAGTTTGAGCTGATTTGGAAATATTCTCAAATCCAACTTGTTTGCATTAGAATGTGATTTGCATAAAAGCTCCTTCAGGAGGGCAATTGGCATGCACCTAAAGGATGTCCAACCAGCCCACGGTCTGCGCAACTATGTGTGTATACAGTTGCATGGGCTCAATTGAAGCAACACCCCAGTTAATGTAGGTGCTGACTCATCAGTGACCGTAAAGTCTTACATATTGATAATGTAAAAAAATTTTCATTTTCGTTATGAACAGACGTCAAGATTACCTTACCATACCATTTTTATGGACTGTAATTAGGAGTCATTTTATTACATTTTATTACATGCGACATCATTTCAGCATGATAAAGGTGCTCATCTGCCCGTAAGTGAATAAAGCAGATGAGCAGAAGAATGAATGTTAAATGAATTCTATCGGGAGTTTATTTAAGTCCACACTCAAGAGTGATAAAAGTAACACTGAAGCAGTGTTAAAGTTATTGTGATAATTAGCTGATTAATTAAGTGATGATTGACCGTCATTGAAAACACCTGATGTTAACAAGTAGAATCACCAAAGGAGAAAATCACAGTTTTTAAGTCACCATTATAGTGGTCAGTGTTTGCATTAGTTGGGCTCTTGACCCTTGACTTTTTAACATTAGGTTTTGTTTGGTTGCTGTAACTGAATTATAACAGCTAGACAAGGCAAACGCAAAAGTCATAAGATGATTATTATGTTTTCACATATTCATTACTTGATCTAAATCAGTGAACTCATTTAGAGTCTAGTCTCTGTGTTCTATACAAAAATATATTTATATTTATTGTTTACGACAGTTTTATGATTCCATTGCAAACGATCCTGTATTTTCTACAACTTTTGGAAGGATTTCTTACAAGCTGCTCTGATCAAAAAAACCTTTGTAAAAGTCTTTACTTTAGGCACACAGACATCAAGAATCAGCGTATGAATCTCAACAACAGTGTCAAATAGCATATTCAGATAAACAGATCAACTCTGAACATCACAAAACAAGCTACTAAAAAGTCACAAAGACAGCAAAAATAAAATAAAATAGTAAGAATAAAATATATGACAAAGACAATTCAGCACATAATTTATTCATGCTCCAATGCATGATGGGGGCCTTCAAAATGCTCTTGACCAGTTAGAGAACATTACAGCTCAAGAGCTTCTTTTGTATGTAAGTATTCAAGAAAAAAATCATAAAACAATCAACAAATCATGACTCAAAGTAATTTAATAGATTACTGACATAGCAGTGCTGTTTTAATGGCTCTCTTGATATTTACATGTACATAAACTATTTATCTGATCAATAGACTGTGATGAGCATTTTGACTGTGGTCTTCAACACTTCAGAGAAGATATTAGAGTCATCATCAGTAAACCCAGCTGAACTAGCCTCTTATGGAAACAGTGTGTTAAAAGCCAGTGAGAAACTCATTTCTACATTAGTGAAGCAGACAGACACTAGTGACCGTGTCAGTTTTACTTTTGCTGCTGTAGGTAAGTGTATACACAATTATTATTATTAATGATGAAACACAGATTTGATGTCAGTGGCTTATTATGGTCTAGAGCAGGGGTTTTCAAACCTGTCCTGGAGGACCTCCAGTCCTGTTTGTATGTCTCCCTCATCTAACACACCTGATTAAACTCATCAGCTCCTGATTTTAAACATTAAAGTGATTCATCACAAAGAGTGCCTTTTGCTAGACAAAAAGGCTAGAATATGTCATCAAGTGTTAGAATCCCAATACAGAGGCACATATTCCTCAAAGCGCTCCTCGGCTCACCAGGATGATGTTTCACACACGTTCAACAGACAGACGGTTCCAAAGACAACAAAAGTTGGTGACGTATTCAGCAGGTGCCCCTTTTATACTTTCGGGTACCCGCCTATGACGTCACGGGCCACGTGGACCAATAGGATTGGAGTTGTTTTACGCATGCTTCAGGTACCGGTCACGCAGACAGTGTTCCCCAAAGTGTCCACCAGGATGCAGCATATCATTCCCTCTCGGGGAACCATGGTTCCATGAGTAACCCGAGACGTTTTGTTGTACCTCACTGATACCAGTTTTCTTCTTAGCAAGAATTGGACCTTAACCGATTGCAATTTACAGTGTGCTCTTACCTGTACTTGCTGTGTAATTACCTAAGAAAGTACTGGATAATATAAGGTAACTTCATTGGTTAGGGTTAGGTTTAGGGATAGGTTCAGGGTTAGTATCCAGTTGTTACCCAGTTATTGTAATCAGAAAGTACATAGTATGTATATGTGGAACAGGACTGTAAAATGAAGTGCTTCATACTACTGAAGTGCAACACTACTATAATTAATTTCTACTTATAGTGTACTTACTAGTGTTTTGATAGGAAGATTTATATTATTTTCCTGCTTTGCATTTCTGTTTGCAGTGTAAATTATTATAATTTTTTTGCATTGAACTAATCTCAACATTTCAATGTCTTTAAGTCCTAGTGAATACTGTATTGTAAATCCCACAAAGCAGCATTTATTGATTTATTGGGTTGTTTGTTTGAAGGGAGGGTGAATTTGCATTGCGTGTTTAGATTTCATGAAGGTGTAGCTCATATACAAGAATGACAGAAACAATAACGACAGACAAGATGTTCTTGCTTACACTTTAAGAAGAGCTGGGCTATAAACAACACAATTGGCAACCGAGTGCTGGGTAAATATTGGACAGTACACATGCTGTGTTAAAGTAACCCAGCAAGTTGGCTTACATGTTTGATCACACTTTATCTTAAAATGGACATGTTTTCCAACTGTTTTGAATAGGGCTATAAATAGATTTTCTTGCTTACACTGAAGAGCTGGGCTAAAAACAACACAATTGGCAACCGAGTGCTGGGTAAATATTGGACAGAACACATGCTGTGTTAAAGTAACCCAGCAAGTTGGCTTACATGTTTGATCACACTTTATCTTAATGAGTGTGTCATTTTAAAATGGACATGTTTTCCAACTGTTTTGAATAGGGCTATAAATAGATACATGTTTTAGTCGCAATTAATCAGACCTTTTAAGCCATCAGATTGAAGTAGTAAACCACCCTAAGCAAGAAAATCGTATCTGTCTTTTTTTCTGTCATTCTTATATAGGAGCTACACCCTCTTATAATCATGATAAATGTCTTATAATCCAAACAAGCAACCCAAACTAATCCTCCCTTCATAGTTATGTATTGTCTTCATTTTTGAATGTGATCATAATGAAAAAATAAAATAAAATCTTCAATGACGTTGTTTGAATTGTGCAAAAAAATTAAATAAATAAACAAATGTGATTTTTTTGAATGCATCCACGTACTGGATCGCAAACATTCCTGGAGTTCAGCAGCATAAAATAATCTGATTTGCGAAATCAGGTTCAAGGCTTAGAATAGAAATGTATGTCCACCAGGACAAACAAGCAACCCAAACTAATCCTCCCTTCATAGTTATGTATTGTCTTCATTTTTGAATGTGATCATAATGAAAAAATAAAATAAAATCTTCAATGACGTTGTTTGAATTGTGCAAAAAAAATTAAATAAATAAACAAATGTGATTTTTTTGAATGCATCCACGTACTGGATCGCAAACATTCCTGGAGTTCAGCAGCATAAAATAATCTGATTTGCGAAATCAGAGCCTGAGCGAAATCAGGTTCAAGGCTTAGAATAGAAATGTATGTCCACCAGGGTTGCGCTTGCACCATTGTAGATGCTCAATGTGATAAACTGCCGACTCCCAAGATAGATGGTCTTATTACTGGGCTCTTCCATTGGAGAAAGTGAAACGGCCAACTTGGATAACATGTGCCTTGATAACCAATTACTTTACAACCATAACATCGTTGAATTTCTGGGTTGTGCAACAGTCATTCACTGTTTACGGATACCATGCATGAGAAGCGGCGTAAACTGAATCGTATCTGTCGCAAAATTGTCTGAGATTTCTCATATAAAACAGCTTGTTTTGATGTAAACTCTAAAAAATAGATCAAGCCAAAATGTATGTTTAATGGCAATCATGTTGAAGATTAGCCGAAAGACTGCAGATTAAAAAATGATAAGCTATTTTCTCATACACACAGTTTATTCAGTGCAGTAAAGCCTCTCCTCCATTAACATCCATTAAAACTCTGGTCTGCTGCCCTGCGGTACGCACCGATACACTTTGTTTTGTTAACCTTGCAGGATTGCTTTCAAGCGGCTTTTTTCCCAAGTTCATCTTACTGCATGACGCAAATTAGGTTAATAATGCAATTTTGTGTGCTTCAGTAGTTTATTTGCGTGAAATAAATTTAACTCATTAAAGGCACAATATGTAAGATTTTCGTAATAAAATATCCAAAAACCACTTGCACATTGTTATATGCAGTTGTGCACTTACGTTACCCCAAAAGTTTCCAAGGATTTGTAAATTATGTCTCGTCCCGGTTCATTGTCGCCTATCAATTACGTAATATCCACACTATCGGTTTCCGCTTTTAGAAACTATGTCAACACACGTGGACAAAAAATGCTGCTGCAGTTAAACTAAATCCATTACGGCAGTCGCGAATAAAATAAAAATGAAATGAAAAGTGTTGAGTGCAGCATTAAATTTAGATCTGGTCAATGTTGCACAATGATTCTTATTCCGCGTTTTAACAGTGTTGCGCGTTATAACCAATCACACACGAGTCTGTTGAGTTTCTTAATGCAGCGGCCAATCAGAGGCTTTCAGATGAGTCATCGCTGAAACTCTGCAGTTTTGTTGAGTGTGCACGCTCGCTGAGTGTATTCTTTCATCATAAACAACGAAGTGCAGATGTACGTATGATGTAAGAAGGAGATTCATTCATCAAACAGTGTTTAGACAGCTTTACTGATTATAAGGGGAGTTTTTTGAGAGTGCTTTAACTCGCATTATACTGAAGTCAGGCATACTGTTCTTTGACAATGTAATGTAAAATGTTCTTTGCTTGCTTTCTCTATATAATTAATTCGCTGTTTGAATAACTTTGGAAGGTAATAAAAAAAAATATTCATCACATCCGTGAACATGATTCGGACATCTCTGGATGGTGAAAACGACATCTCCCATAATTCCACTCTCCTTCATAGCTTAATCAAGCTTCGCCTTTGTTATTGTTTTAAAAATGCGACCTCTAAAAAGCGGCGAAAACTTACATATTGTGCCTTTAAGGATTTTAAATGAATTGCATGCATTAACATTGACAGTTCTAGTTTTGAGTGATGTGTCTAATGCAGATGACTGTGTTTATTGTGTTTATTATTTAAAAGTGTATTTCATAATTGCAGATTTAAAGCAGAGAATGTGCTTGCAGTTTTGCAGACGTGGTCTGAAATTCAGCATGAGCTACTGATTTCAGTTACTGATTTTGTAGTGTCAAGGATGACTTTTACTGTGTAAGGATTTTTTTTTTACTGTAATGTTATACATTAACAACCTGAAACAGTACACTCCCTAACAAGAACACCTCTCATTCACAGGAAATACATTATGTAATATTTGTATCAACAGATGAGATTTTTACATGATTTATCATTACTAGGGGAGAGGGAGGGATAACATGCCCATTTATTACCTACACTTTATGTACACATGCACATTTTCGCCTCTCTTCTGAGCTGCACATCACTTGAGACAACAATTTACACATTCAACCAGCCACATCAAGTAAGTTTTCTCAATCATCTTTCTGAAAAAGAAAAGAGATTATGCCGGTCAAGGCATATCCAAATCAATGTATGTAGGCTAATCCTCACTTTCTCCCAGGTGATTTACTGTACTGTAAGTGTTTAGATTAAAATAGCCATTATATATATCAAAAAGGTTTCAGCTAAAAGTGTTTGCCAAAACGTGAGTGTGTGAGTTTTCCACTATTGTGAATTAAACATTTCAAAAGACACACTTAAGAGTGCAGACAAAATAAAAAATTTTAATATGATCATTGTTATGAATTGTCTAGAGGTTGACTTTTTAGTGCATTTGCTTATTTACCAAAACCGAAATGTCAACAGTTTATGACTAACATTTTGATTAGAAATAAATGGATATGTTTTTATTATACATAAAATAACCTTTATATAAGTTGTGTTGAATGATATGTTAATATTCAGTGAACAGGCTATAATGTGCTTAACGTTTTCTCTAAATATGCTGCACAACACAGGGCAGGCGAGAACAAAGAAAAGAGATTATGCCGGTCAAGGCATATCCAAATCAATGTATGTAGGCTAATCCTCACTTTCTCCCAGGTGATTTACTGTACTGTAAGTGTTTAGATTAAAATAGCCATTATATATATCAAAAAGGTTTCAGCTAAAAGTGTTTGCCAAAACGTGTGAGTTTTCCACTATTGTGAATTAAACATTTCAAAAGACACACTTAAGAGTGCAGACAAAATAAAAAATTTTAATATGATCATTGTTATGAATTGTCTAGAGATTGACTTTTTAGTGCATTTGCTTATTTACCAAAACCGAAATGTCAACAGTTTACGACTAACATTTTGATTAGAAATAAATGGATATGTTTTTATTATACATAAAATAACCTTTATATAAGTTGTGTTGAATGATATGTTAATATTCAGTGAACAGGCTATAATGTGCTTAACGTTTTCTCTAAATATGCTGCACAACACAGGGCAGGCGAGAACATATTTTGATTGAGAGAAAGATGAAGTAAAAGTAAATTATTATGATTATTATTTCTCATTTGGCCTTATGTGTGTAGGATTCATTTTAAAGTAAGAAACACACACACACACACACACACACTGGTTTGTTTTTGTGAAAAGTGGGGACTCTCCATAGGCGTAATGGTTTTTATACTGTACAGACCGTATATTCTATTGCCCTACACCAACCCTACCCCTAAACCTACCCCTCACAGGAGACTTTCTGCTATTTCAGATTTTCAATACACTCCATTCTGTGTGATTTATAAGCGCTTTGAAAAGTGGGGACATGGGGTAATGTCCTGAAAAGTCACCTTCTCCTTGTAATACCTGTCATACCTTTGTCATTATACAAATTTATGTCCTCATTTGTCACAAAAACGCACGCGCACACACACACACACACACACACACACACACACACACACATAACACTGCACTCTAAAACTGGATGGATTATTTTTAAGGCTGCTGGGTTTGACCTTTTGGGTCATTTAGTTAGTTTTTTTTTTCATTTTTCTTCACAGAGTTGGGTAATTTGCCGAATTACTTTAACCCAGCTTGTGTTCTGTGCAATATTTACCCTTGCCAAATGGGTTGCTTTTTATCCCAGCCAGGTTTACAGTGGGCTTCCCAACATTTGTTGTATTATTCTTAAAAATCATTTAAATTATTTGCAACAGAAGTCATTTTTGCTGCAGTATTGGTATCTGACGCTGATTTAAACTTAGCTTTAACACACAGTTTCAGCAGCCAGATAAAAACTAATGTTAAAAAGTCAAGGGTCAAGAGCCCATAATGGTGACTTAAACTTTAACTTTTTCAATAAAACATCAGCATCTAAGGGGGCTTTCATACTAGCACTTTTGGTGCACACTTGGGTTCATTTGATGTCAGACTTCAGTTTGTTTGGTTAATATGAACGCTGTTTTCTCAGATGTGCACCCGTGAACTGTACCCAAATATACCTAAAAAGGGTGGTCTGGGTTACGGTTTGTTTCTGATGTGAACACGTAGTCATACTAAATCACAGAAGTGAACCACTATTGATGACATATGAATTGAATACACACTGTAAAGTTTCGGGAGTGACAACCACATTTAAATATGGGAGAGAATCCCATAAATTATTATTTGGCATGTGAACGGAACACGACTTACTCCCAAAATGGCAGTGATCGACAGCATTGTAACCATAGTAACTTTCAGGAGACTCACATATTTAATATCCGATATTTTTGACCAATATATTACAGCTCTAAAACCAATTTGAACTAAAACCACGGATGAGAGGGGTATTGTGTATGTTTATGTTTGGAAGGCTGCGTCACTGCACTTCTCTTGCAGCGTTGCCATGTCCACTTACAGTATTATGTGTTTTTTCTTACCCTGTGATTTTCTTGCAAAAATGCCATATGAGACATGTGTAACCTGATTTTGTCTTGATTACTGCAAAGGACGAACTGAAAATATATATATATACTTTTACCTGGTGCTTATGCGGAATGTTGCAGTCGGGAGCAGAAGAAAGTAATGCATTTTTTTGCGGGACAAGAGTGGGACTAAAAGTCTTGCACAGATATCTAATTTTGACTACCTGTTTGCCAGGGGTGCCCAAACTCGGTCCTGGAGGGCCAGTGTCCTGCAGAGTTTAGCTCCAACCCCAGTTAGACACACCTAAACCAGCTAATCAAGCTCTTACTAGGCATGCTAGGAACTTCCCGGCAGGTTTGTTGAGGCAAGTTGGAGCTAAACTCTGCAGGACACTGGCACTCCAGGACCGAGTTTGGACAGCCCTGCTGTATGCAGTTTCAATAAATTCTGGTTACCACCCAATTTCACCTCTAGGTGGTGCTTATTCTCCATGATCATTCATCATCAGTCATTATGATTGATATTAACCATTTATGTGTTAGAGGTGTCTATGCTTGAATTAGTCTACTAAACTGAATGTACATAGTTTTATTTAGCAGATGCTTACATGATTTCATGTCTCTCCTTTTAGCTCCACAGGAAACACCCTCCTGGGACAAGATATATGTTTAAAGCACAGTTATCTTCTAAATCAGTGACTGAGAAATACCTACAAAATCAGCAGAAGGTGAAAGGACGAATTATCTCAGTGCTCGACACTCCAGGACTGACAACAAACAAACAGATTAAAGATCTAGGTGAACAGTTTAAAGGAAGTTATCATGTGTTCAGTAACACAGATGAAGAAAACCAGTTGCATGTGACTAAACTGATAGAGAAGGTAGACAGAATGGTGAAGGAGAACAGAGGACAGCATTACACGAATGAGATGTACGAGAAAGCTCAGAGACGGAGGTTGGAAGAGGAGGAAAAACTGAGGGTGGAAGAACCACTGAGTCTGGCTCAGAAAGCAACGTTTGTGGGAGCAGGTGTGTTAGGAGGAGTCATTGGAGTAGCAGGAGTGGTTGTTGGAGGAGCAGCACATGGAGCTATTGGTTTAGTAGCAGCCCCTCTAGCTTTAATAGCAGCAGGAGTTGCTCTCATGGCAGAGGGAGGTGCAATAACTATCACACATGCATTGGAAGTTTTCAGGGAGCAGAAGAGAAACTCAGACAACAGTACATAAAGGTTACAATTATTGCAAGATTCAATAAACAGAGTATCAGACAATCTCATTATTCTGCTTCCATATAGTTAGCAAAAATGACCAGAGGATCTAAACAGGACATCATTAACAATACTTTAAACATGATGACTATGAAAAAATATATAAATCATTGATATGAGCAATAATGACATACTTATGAGTTCAGTAGTGTGATTAATAGCCATCTCACGTTAACTCTTAGCTGTATTATTGTGTTTTTCTGACATAACACTATTTAAAATACTGGTTATCCATTTTTTTTACCTCTTTAACATACTCTGTTAATTTAGATAATTTTGAAATGTTATTTGGTCTCAACAGAATATATAGATGAGTGTCATCAGCATTAAAAATTAAAACTAACGCCATGTTTTATAATAATATTGCCAAAGGGGCCACACATACATTGAAAATAGCAGAGGGCCTGAGACAGATCCTTGTTGCACTCCATACTTTACTGGTGTTAACTTAGGTAATTCCATTGAAATAAACAAAAATGATAACATTCAGACAGGTAGCATCTAAACCATCTTAATGACTGTCCCTGAATGCCACTGTGATTTTGTAACTAATCTATGAATATGTAGTGATCTATAGTGTCGAACGCAGCACTAAGATCAAGTAAAACTAGTAGTGAGATGTAACTTGGTCTGATGCTAGAAGTAGATCATTTGTAATTTTAGTGCAGTTTCTGTATTATGATGGGGCCTGAAACCTAACTAAAATAATCTTCATAGATGTAATTTATTTGCAAGAAGGGAACATTCTCTTTTTCTTTGTTTTGGTTTCATTTTCATTGTGTACAGTTCCTAGTTTGCCTGCTTAAGTTTTCCTTTGTTCTCTTTTTTTCCTGTCATTAGTTACTGTGACAACTCATTAACTGATCACACCTGTTTTGATTCAGTTCATTATCTTTTGTATTAAAGTTCCTCAGTTTGTCCCCTTTACTTTTGCCCAGTGTTGTTGAGTTATTTGTGTTACGCTGTTTCGTTTCCTGTGATTTACTTGAGCTGGTTTCATTTAATACACATTATCATTTTGGATCCTTTCTGCATCTTCATCTTCATTTTCAGAGTAAATGTGACAGAATTGAGCAGACACAACTTTTTAATTTATATATAAATGGAAGATTTGAAATGGGTCTGTAGTTTGCAAGTTCACTAGTATCTAGCTGTGGTTTCTGAGGCAATCCAGTCTGAAGGGAAGTGACCTGGAGATAAAGAGGAAGTAATAATATTGAAAAGAGGCTTCATGCAATATGACAAATAGCAGTACGCAGTTTGCATGATACAAGGTAGTGATCAATAAAATATCAATATCATTAAGATCAATTGCATTCAGTTATAATTAAATTTAGTGCATGCTTACTATGAGATGATGACTTAAACGGAGAACATTAAAACTATTTTCGGTGATAATTTAATTTACAATATCAGCCTTTGGTGTGAGTGACCTAATATTTAGGTCACTCAATCAGATTTTTGTCACATACATGTTTTTCTCATTTGTTTAATTATATTTATACAATTTTATAATTATAATATTTGCCCCCAGGTTGCAGGTATTTCTGAACCAAGGAAATAGCGTTCAGTCATTTGTTTATATAGTATTTCCAGTGTCAAACACAGCAAGATTTTGTCTTGTCTAAGAAAATCTAGGAAAAGTCTAAACCAGATGAATAGCATTTCTTTAAATATCCAACTATACTATACAAGAAATTGTAAATTCAAAAAAAAAAAAAATAATTCACCTGTTTGGAAACATTTTTGGTTGAGGACCTCCAAAATATTTTTTTTCCATCTTTCCCAGCTGCTTTACATTTTACGAGGCAGCAGATGGCGCTGTTATTGATACTATGAAGTTTTGATTCTTTTCCCACTACAATCTGTGGAAGACTTAAAACATTAAAACACAGCAAGATTTTGTCTTGTCTAAGAAAATCTAGGAAAAGTCTAAACCAGATGAATAGCATTTCTTTAAATATCCAACTATACTATACAAGAAATTGTAAATTCAAAAAAAAAAATAATAATTCACCTGTTTGGAAACATTTTTGGTTGAGGACCTCCAAAATATTTTTTTTCCATCTTTCCCGGCTGCTGTACATTTTACGAGGCAGCAGATGGCGCTGTTATTGATACTATGAAGTTTTGATTCTTTTCCCACTACAATCTGTGGAAGACTTAAAACATTTACCCTTATCTTCATCTTTGTATGTATAGCTGATGTTGTAAGACTCTAAAACCAAAAGTGTATCTGATGTAATTTTAATGTTAATTGTTTCAGAGTCAATATACGTCAGTAACTGGTAGTTTGACTTTATGAGAAACTTTCATAACGTTGATCGGTTTATTTGTCTCAACATGTCAACTTCTGACTCAACCAGTGATGTGAGTTTAGGGTGAGACTATCTGTCTGACTGACGAATGACAGACAAGAGTAGGAAGTGACTGTCAAGCTGAAGTAGTCCATGCAACTCATGCAATTTATTTCACATCTGAATGAAATTCTCGGACCAGACAGAAATGAAAGGCTTGATAAATATGTTCAAATAAATATATAAATGTGGAGTTTTATGATGTATTCAACATGTTTTTCAGTAAATATGTGTCTAGTGCTGAATATGTGTAGTCAATAGAAGACATCAGTGCATTTGTTTTTAATAAAAGCATTAGCTGAAATGAATGCAGCACTTAAGACGCGAATCTGAAACATTTTGGATGGTTGTGAATTGTTTTGTGAAAGTTGACCTTAGTTTGAAAAAAACTGTAAATAAGATATTTAAAATACTTATAAACATCACTTACTGAAAAAAATACTAGAAATATCACTTAATGAACAGTTAATGTCTCAAATTCACAGAAAGTCTGTATTGTCCAATGGCTTGTATTTGGTATTGTCACATGAATGACTAGACTGCATTATACTTTTATTCAGGTCAAGTTCAGGTTTTCTGTATTATTTAATTATATTTTGTAATGAAGTTAACATAAACAATATAATAATAATAATATAAATACAGTATTATAATAATATAAATACAGAACATATAAATACAATAATATTGTGCAACAATTTATAAAAATTTTACATTTTTAAACATAGTTACAGTACATATCTTCATACAGTTCAGTAAATATGTGTCTAGTGCTGAATATGTGTAGTCAATAGAAGACATCAGTGCATTTGTTTTTAATAAAAGCATTAGCTGAAATGAATGCAGCACTTAAGACGCAAATCTGAAACATTTTGGATGGTTGTGAATTGTTTTGTGAAAGTTGACCTTAGTTTGAAAAAAACTGTAAATAAGATATTTAAAATACTTATAAACATCACTTACTGAAAAAAATACTAGAAATATCACTTAATGAACAGTTAATGTCTCAAATTCACAGAAAGTCTGTATTGTCCAATGGCTTGTATTTGGTATTGTCACATGAATGACTAGACTGCATTATACTTTTATTCAGGTCAAGTTCAGGTTTTCTGTATTATTTAATTATATTTTGTAATGAAGTTAACATAAACAATATAATAATAATAATATAAATACAGTATTATAATAATATAAATACAGAACATATAAATACAATAATATTGTGCAACAATTTATAAAAATTTTACATTTTTAAACATAGTTACAGTACATATCTTCATACAGTTAGGTGCTTAAATACATTGTTAAACAAGGTTGTTGTTGTTTTCTTATTCATTTATTCCACAGAAAGGCTGAAAGGCTCTGTATGGAGAAAACATAAGATATTTTTGAAGTGTGCGAGCTTAGCATCATGCCCCCCACCGCGCACAGCGGGTACATAATGAAGGGCGTGAGACAGCCTTTTCCGTCTGCTGTCCCCCATAGCAAACAAAGAGCTGATCTGAGGTCCTGAAACCGTGTACGGTCCACGTAGAAGCGCAAGTTGCAAACGGAACAGAGCAGAGCAAAGGCTGGGTCTGCCTCCTCTAAACAAGTTCACCACCTGACCCCTGAACGGTGTGGTGGGAACCTTGGGCATGTATCTGGGCCTGGGTCTCAGTATAACATGAGAGTGAGCCGGTCCGAACTTCAGGCACGAATCGTCGACCGAAAATGCCTGCAGGTCCCCTACCCTCTTAACAGAAACCAGTGCAGTCAGGAGCACCGTCTTCAGAGACAGGAACTTCAGCTCCATTGACTGCAGAGACTCAAAGGGCTCCTCTTTCAAGGCCATTAGGACAAAGGGGAGATCCCAAGAGGGTATCAAATGAGGGCGGGGAGGATTCAGTCTCCTTGCGCCCCTAAGGAATCTGATGACTAGGTAGTGCTTACTGAAAGATTTGCCGTTCACTGCATCGTGATAAACACTTTCAAGATGGAGGGGGACAGCCTCCGCGCCAACCTTTCCTGCAGAAAGGAGAGCATGACCACAATCGGGCATCTACAGGGGTCTTCCTGATGGGAAGAGCACCAATTGACGAACAGGTTCCACTTCAAAGCGTAAGCAAGCCTTGTAGAGGGCGCTCTTGCTGAAGTGATTTGTGTGAAGTGAAGTGTTTATTACCGCTGGAGGTAGATCACCTAGAACCTCCGCATCCCATCCAAAGGCCATAGGTGGGGATTCCAGATATCTGGGTGCGAGTGCCATAGGGTGTGCTCTCTGTGAAAAAGGAGATCCCTCCTCAGAGGAATCCACCAAGGAGGGGCTGTCGCAAGGAGCATCAGTTCTGGAAACCAGGTCCGACAACTAAGAGGACTTGCTCCTCGTCCTCCCTGACCTTGCACCGTGTCTGTGTGAGAAGGCTCACTGGGGGAAACGAAAACTTGCATAGGCCCCGAGGCCAGCTGTGTGCCAGAAGCTCTCGAGTGAGATGTAACGTTGAACGTGACTGACTGAAAGGGAACTAATGATCAATATTCAGCAGCTGGAGTCCTTGGGTTAAAACTGATAAAACCTGATTGTGAATTACCTATGATTAAATGAAGGTGATAATATTAGAAATT